ATAATCATGTACACGTCCTTGATAAATAATTTGACGATACTAAATTTATGATCAGCTTATTCTTTTGCACTTAGGTGTTTAATTGGAGAAGAAGGCAGGAAGGTTCCTTTCCTTTGACTGCTGAGGAATATGCTAAGAGTATTACTCTTGCGGGTCGATCAAAAAACGTTGACCTTGCTGTTGAGTTGTTCACTGAGGCTTCTAATAAAAGGGTCAAGACAACCTCTATTTATAATGCATTGATGGGTGCTTACATGTATAATGGCTTGGCTGACAAATGCCACTCGTTGTTTCGGGATCTTAAAAGGGATGCAAATTGTGTTCCTACCATTGTAACATATAACATCCTACTATCGGTATTTGGTCGGTTGATGTTAGTTGATCACATGGAGGCTACCTTGCGAGAAATACATGATTTGGATCTCTCCCCTAACGTGAGCACGTACAACCATCTAATAGCTGGGTATGTTACTGCATGGATGTGGGATAAAATGGAGCAAACATTTTTGAAGATGAAGGCGAGTTCGGTAAAGCCAAACACTGAAACTTTGTTGTTAATGCTTCGTGGATATGCTCATTCTGACAATCTTGAAAAGATGGAAGAGATGCACGAGTTGTCAAAGGATCATGTCGATGACAAGAATTTCCCTCTTATTAGAACTATGATATGTGCATACTGTAGGAGTACTATAGCAGATAAAGTGACAAAGATAGAGGCTTTGTTGAAGCTTATTCCGAAAGAAGAATATCGACCATGGTTGAATGTCTTATTGATAAAAGTCTATGCTCAAGAAGATTGGTTAGAGAGAATGGAGAATTCGATAAATGAGGCATTTGAGCATGGTACATCAGTAAATACTCTCCATGTGATGCGCTCCATTAGTGCCAGTTATTTTCGGTGTAACGCAGTGGACAAGCTAACGAACTTTGTAAGTCGTGCTGAATGTTCAGGTTGGAGAATCTGTCGGTCTTTATATCATTGTAAAATGGTTATGTTTGCATCAGAAAAGCGTTTCGAAGAAATGGAGTCTGTACTCGACGAAATGAAAAATATCAACTTGGATTGGACGAAAAAAACATTTTGGATATTGTATAAAGCCTACTCATTAAGTGGTTGCAGGTACAAGGTTGACCAAGTGTCGTGTTATATGTGCAAGCTTGGGTATGGGATTCCCTCGGATTTATCTCCGTCTTGACGTTCTCGGATCGAAAGAATGAAAATTCCATAATTGACTTATCCAATTGTTCTTATTGGTTTTTCTCATGAATAAGTGCAGAACCCAGATTTCTGAGATATCTTAGGTAAGCATCATGTCTCATTTTTACTATCAGTCACTTTATTTACCTTGCTTGCTTCGCTTGCCTATTACTTGGACTGTTTGTTCCATCATATATATATATATGACATTCTTTTACTCTCCCATTCTTACTATTTGGGTAGTTGGTGGATTATAAAGATTTTGGGTTCTAATAACAATTTAGTTCTAGTGGATAAAAGGGTTTAAAAACTCTATTTGGGTAAACTGGTTCAAGATCATAAAATGGGCATTTACTTTTACCCCCTTGTGAAGTTTGTTCTTTATTTTGTTCTTGCTCCACTTCAATGTACTCTTCTTTTTAATCTTTCTTGGTTTACATTTACTTCATCTTTCAGAAAGCTGAATGAGAGATATCATAACTTTTATTTACCTGCTGTTGGGAACTATGTAGCCAAGTTTTCATTTATTTATCTCATACTATCTCTAGAAATTAGAACTTATCCCTCTGTAGATAGATATGTTTAGTTAGGATTAGTTAGTGCCTGACTGATCATCTGTAACGGTTCAAGCCCACCACTAGCAAATATTGTCATCTTTGGGCTTTCCCTCCAAATTTTTAAAACGTGTCGGCTAGGGAGAGATTTTCACACTCTTATAAAAAGAATGCTTTGTTCTCCTCTCCAACCGATGTGGGATCTCATAGTGTGATCTTTCATTTCATATCGTTGTTTATGATCGTACTTTTTTTAATTCGAAAAAGTAGATTCATGATCGCCTGAATATTTGATTGGTAGCATAAAGTGCTCTAATGATACTTGAAATGAATGAACCTTGGAAACTAATAGCAACGAACAGTTTTGATGCTTGCTTGGGAAAATTTTACGTACTTATTTGTTTATTTTGTAGAAATCGAGCATTCGAAGTGGAATAGAGATTATACTGAGATAATCAAGCTGATTGGACACGAGATGAGAAAGGGAATCTAATTTATGTCCTGAAGAGGCAGCATTCGCCCATGAGGTTATTGTCGAGAGCTACGAAATCTGTGAAGCATATGGCGCAAACCATGGTTGAAGCATGTGTGCACATTTTTTTTTCTTTCTTTCACTTATGTTCTTCAACAAATTGAGATTTAAATATTTTCTTTTCTTATAAAATAAGATAATTACTATTATAGAACACTATTATTAATGTTGACTTCCCTAAACATTTAACTTGAATATGCAATAATTTTGATTTATTTTTGTGTCAAAATAACTTTAATATTTTAATTATGATTTAACTATTAAAAATATTAGATAAAAATTATAAATGGCTTAGTTTTTTTTTTTTTTTTTTTTTTTTTAAAAAAATTTAAAAA